TCATAAGCCTTCTGCACAGAAAATAATACTTGCTTTATCACAAAATGTTTAGCTGGGGGAAACCAGGCGGTTAGTGCAGCTCTAACTAGACAGCAACTTCTGCAGCAGGCATTAATGCAGTACACTTACAACTTGCAGCAGCAGCAACAACAACAGGCGCAGCAACAACAGCAGCAGCAGGCCCAATTGGCAGCTCAGCAGCAGGCGGCAGTTGTACAGCAGCAATTAAATGCAGTCGCTTTGCAGCAGCTCATGGCTGCCGGAGGAGCCGGGGCTTCTAATGTGGCCGCCGCTGCCGCGGTGGCTGCCAATCCAGCATATATGGCTTTGATACAAAACCTCTGGGCTCTAAATGCAGCTGGCGCTCAGGGTCAGCAGGGAAAGAAATAAGCACTATCCACCGCCTGTATATTTTGCTTTCTGTATGGAAAATCAGGCGTTTCTAAGGCTATGAGAAATTTTGTGGGTACTTTTAGTCCACATGCTTTTTCACAGTCATTTATTGCGTCTGATCTATTCCTTAGGCATTGGCACTTAGACCGCAATTTTTGTATCCTTGTGGATTTTATGCTGTCACCACCCGAGGTCATAAATTAGTGATCTTTAATCTAAAACTACCTCTATTCTTGTAGTAAATCATGAATTTGTGATTCCTGAGTTGAAAGTAGATTAAGTAATAGGAAGGAGATCTCATTGTTCTTGTATATTTTAAAGTTTTTTCCTTGTATTTGTTCATCATATGCATCGAATCTAACTGCCGAATTTGCGGGTGTTGTCCAGCTCTGGATCGAATCACTCACTTATTATCAGTGTGGGAGTAGAACAAATTTCATACCCAATCTGAATTGAAACCAAAGCCTACATGCATATTCAAAAATTTAAATTGAAAGTGTGTAAATGCATCTAAAGGTTGCACCCTTATCGAAACTTATTTTTTTCCAAATAAAAATGCTTCACGCTGGTGTATTCCTTTTTAACTAGACCTTGGTGTAAGGCTGTGCTTCATGCCATTGCACTTGATATCTACCTCGCGAATACTCTGGTTGGGCTGTGATCTAAACACGTGTCAATAGGAAGGCCGAAGAGCTAGTGTACTGACAAGTTGACTCTTTTTAGCATCTGATACATACTTTGGCAGGTTTTTTCAGATTTGATATCCGGCTAACAGCTTCCTTATGTTAGGGTTACCTTCATTTCGTATAAAAGTGCATGAAGAAGAGATTCGTTGGTCGATCTCACCATATGAGGACAGATGAATCCCGTACTGCAACCGTTTGGCTTTTATACGATATTCATGTTGACGCAGTCCACGAGACTTCCT